AGGGGGGAGGAAGGGGAGATGACATTCATACGAATGTGAGGGAGGAGGCTAGAGGGGGTCGAGTGTTGCAGCTGCTGAAGATATGTAGCATTGAAGGAGTGGAAGAGGAGGAAGTGACGGGTGTGACGGAAGTGGAGAGAACAAGAGAGAGGGAGAGGCAGAGAACAAGAGAGAGGGAGAGGCAGAGAACTTGTTCTGATGTTTCTTTTGGCAGCCCTGAGATGTACAGCAGCGATTATTTGAAGCCTCTCCCTGTTCTGATAGACGAGATGATTCAAAGTTGCCCGATAGATACGAGAAGGTACAGAGAGGAGGAGAGGTTGGCGGAAGGAGGAGGGAGAGGAGGGGAGGTGGAGACGTGAAGGGGGGAGGGGCAGGAGTGAGGGACGGTTTGCTATAACAAGTTTGTCAGAGGGCTGTACGGGAACGTGGTTCTTTCAGGAGGATCGACGATGTTCAAGGATTTTGATAAGAAATTGAAGAAAGATCTGAAGAAGATTGTTGACCGTAGGATCCAGGTATTGTGATTGCTCCCTCTTCTCTCCTCCTCCCCTCTGCTCTGCTCTGCTCTGCTCTGCTCTGCTCTGCTCTGCTCTGCTCTGCTCTGGTCTCCTTCTCTTCCCTTCTCTTCCCGCCGATTCTCTACCCCATCTTGCGCCTGCATCTTCGTTCCTCTTGCCTTTTCCTCTTGCGTTCGCCCAGATGATCTGACACGCCATCAGTCAAGCGTTTCACGGTCAGGAGCAGCGGCCGCAGAGATCGCGGTGAGGGAGAGGGGGAGGAGGAGGGGATAGAAGTTTGGGGGAGGAGGGGGAAGCAGGAGACTGGTGGGAGTGAAGGAGGAGGAGCTCACGTGATGTTGTAGAGGAGTGCGGTCGACATCGACGTCGTTTCGCATGAGTTTCAACGTTATGCCGTCTGGTTTGGTGGAAGTCTCATAGGAAACTCGGTAAATCGACTCCTCCCTCCTCCCTCCTCCCTCCTCCCTCCTCCCTCCTCCCTCCTCCCTCTCTTCCCCTTTCTGTCGTTCCCTCCCTCACCTCATTCTGGCGCTTCTCCTTTACTTCTCAATCATTATCCAGCCGGAGTTCGTCACTGCTTGTGTCACGAAAGAACAGTACGAGGAGTACGGACCAAGGTACCACTTGTTATCCCTCGTTTCCTATCCGCTATCCATCATTCCCTCCCCTCGTCTGCTCCTGCCCTCTCTCCTCCTCCCATCCCTCCTCCTGCCCTCTCTCCTCCTCCCATCCCTCCTCCTGCCCTCTCTCCTCCTCCTGCCATCTCTTCGGTTGGACTGATTCTCTCGCAGCATCTGTCGACAGAGCAAAGTCTTCGCGGGCGTCTAGGGGATGGAGGACAAGACGGACCCAAGCGGACAGGGAGGAGGGGGAGAATGAGACGGAGGAGGGGGAGGAATGGGGATGCCAAGGTTGGGACAAGTGGAGGAGAGGAAGAGACAGATAGAGGGGAGAGGAAATGTTGTTAACAAGCGAAGCTGCAAGCTCTCTCTCCCCCTCACGGCGCGAATCCTTTGGCTCCTACTCGTCAGCCCCCAGCGTCAGGAAGCTGAAGGGACGGAAGGGGTAACCGTCGCCGTCGTAGAACTTGTTCATGAACTCCACCCAGTGCAGACGGAGAGCGTGAAGGAAGGCAGACAAGCTCTCCATACCCATGAGCACTCCAACAGTGAAGAGAGACCATGCTCCGATAGTGATGAAGAGAAGAGCTGCAAACACGGCATCAGAAAACTAGATGACTCCTCCTCCAACCCCTTTTTTTACACCTCCCTCCCTCCCCTTCCCTCCCTCCCTTGTTCCCTTCTCCCCCCTCCTGTTCCTCGCCCTCCTCACCTGCGCTCGAGCTCTCCAGACCAACTTCAATCACCGTCTTCTCCCAGAACACTTCCGACAGCTGGGCGTGAGCAAGGGAAAGAGCCCAGAGACGGAGGTAGGAGGCAGTGTTGGAAATACAACCCAGCACGTACTCGATCGTGTGGATCATCTGATGGACCATCACCTCCCCGAACTCGAACTCCTCGCCATGCCCGTGCCCGTGGCTGCTGTCACCTGATCCTGCACGTCAGTCAGCGCAGCTGCAAACGCCATCCCTTCAACTCACCCGTCTCGACATCGCCGTCCACCAGGTCGGATCGCTCCTGCAGGGCCTGGAAGCCTCCTCTGCGCGCCATGTTCTCTTCATGCTGCCTCTTGAGCAGGAAGGGCTTGGGGAACAGAAGCATTGGGACGGAGACGAAGGCGAGGAGGATGAGGAAGGCCTGGAGGCCGCCTTGCCCGGGGATGAGCTGGTTCTCGATGGCGACGTAGCCTGGCTCCATGAACATCTTGATCAGCGAGTCGAGGAGCGAGGGAGGGCTCTGCTTCCACATGACACAGCCTGAGATGTCCTCCTGGCAGCTCGTCGGGTTGTAGTTGGCGAACTGCGTCAACGACGCGTTCCCGTACACGTTGCTCTCTACTATGATCTTCCCTTTCCAGTCAAACACCGCGCATCCAGCCGTGGCGCTCTTGTCCTTCATGCACCACATGTACTCCGGGAGCTCAGCAAGCTTCGAGCCATAGCCAGCGATGGAGGAGCGATCGTAGCGGAAGGGAGCCGTCCAGCACGGGAGATTGGAGAGCTGATCGTTGCAGTAAACCTGCGGGATGTGGACGATCTCGTCGTTGTTGAGGACGAAGGCTGTGTTCCAGTTGGTCGTCCACTTGGTGAGGATGAGGAGGACGAGGTAGCCGAAGATCGAGTTGATGAAGATGATCTCGGGGATGAAGACGAAGTAGAGGGTGATGGAGTCCTTGAAGTAGAGGGTGTTCATCAGCTTGCAGCAGATGCCCAGTACCATCTGGCAGACTCCGGCAACAATGGCGAACTTCATCTTGAACGAGTTGGCTGAATTGAGCTTGTTGCTGGTGTGCGACCACCCAGGATCCGAGCCGAAGGGATACACCTGAGCTGTGACCTCGATCTCGTTCGACTTGCCCGTGGCGAAGTCGAAGGCCTCGTTCAGGTTGCTCCTCAGCCACTTCTGGGTGGAGTCCGGGGAAGTTCCAGGGATCCTCGAGCACTGAGGGTCGTCCATCTCCCCGCTGCACCAGGCCGTGCTCCCGAAGATCTCCAGAGGCACCGAGAAGAGTTCGTTGTAGATGAAGCCGCAATAGATGGCGAACAGCCCCATGAGCAGGATGTTGTACCTCCCGTGGTACAGGGTGCCGAACATCTCGTTGTTGGCTGCAGAAGAAAGTCTCTGCTCGAACAAGCACAGCAGGGCGCCGGTCATGGACATCATGAAGCCGTGCCCGATATCCCCGAACATGACGCCAAACAGGAAGGGAAACGTGATGACCGTGAACACAGCTGGGTTGAACTCCTGGTAACGAGCCATCCCGTATGCATCGACGATGGCTTGAAAGCCCGCAGTCACTTTGGTGGTCTTGAAGAAGGTTGGAGGAGTCTGCCTAGACTTGATCACCTCAACCACCGTTTGCACGCTTGCCCCGCTCTTGAGCGTTGCACGGCGAAGAGCATCTCGAACATCCGACATACTCGACACTGGGCACCATCCCTCAGCGATGAGGCACTTATGGGTGACGTCATAGTTGAAGAGATTCAGCGTGTGAAAAATGGCCTTCTCCCTCGTCACTTGCTCGATCCAAAGCTCGAAGCTACACTGCCGTCAGCTTCGTTGAAACCGAAAGTGTCTTGTCTCACCTGTTGGCGATGGCCCTCAGCCTGTTGCGCTTGTACTCTGAGGTGCTTCGGATCACAATCTCGAGATCCTTGAGGCGCTCGCAGAGATCTTGAACGTCCTTCATCCATTCCATATCAAATCATGTGACAAGGCCCTAGTAAACCTGCCATACCTTCTCTCTTGCAGAGGTCCCCTCGGGCAAACGGTACTTGGTTGCACCGAACCTGATAGTAGGAAGGTCACAGAACGACTTGTCGATAACGGACTAATCCTCACGATTCACAAATCTTCTCGATCTTAGCTCGGGATCTCTCTCCACTGAAGTAGACGATGAAGACTGACTTCAACTCAGTCTCTGAGAGCTGTGGGAGATGCGATCAGAACACGTGATGTACACCAAACAAGTTCACATTCTCCGAGGTGTCAAGCTCCTCATGCTGCAAGTGCATGTTTCCTCTTGTCGCACGAAAGAGCGTGACCTGAGCAGAACTTCAACAAAGTATGAAATACTCTTTCGATGCTTCACAGTAAAATCTCGCATATTGGCGGAGGGGATACATCCTGCGATGTGACCCAACATAGAAGGAGGTCTTCTGGTGATCCCCGCCTGCAACCTCACCTCAGCCCCGTCCTGCTCGAGCATCGATCCTGACCTCATTCTCGTCGAGGAGCGAAGACATTTCATGCCTCCCTTCCTCCTCCAGGGACGGAGCAGTGAAGGCGATCCCACTCCTTCCCCGAGCTGAATCAGACATACCTCGAGCAAGGCGTTCAAGTACCTGTTTGCCTGTCCGAACCACTTGGAGGCATGTTTCAAGACTTGCACATGCTCCTCCAGCTCGGTTCTCTGCTTCACAAGTTGCCCGTACTTGTCCGAGTGATCCTTTGCCAACAATCAGCGCAAACAACATCGGGCATCTTGGTCATCTCTACCTTCATCTCCTTCTCCAGTTCCTGAAGTCGATCATGGAGCTCATTGAGTGAGGTGAGTGGAGCAACATCGTGCCGACTACCATCTCCAGTAATAATTTTCTCCTGCATTGCCGCCATCACCACGCGGTGTGGCTGTATATATGGAATCACCTTATCGAAGTGGCCTTTCAAATATCTGAGGATTCGGAGCATGTCCTCACACTTTCGAACATCCTGCACGAAGATCCTTTGAAAGGCGCTCTTGTCGTTATTGAGCTGCAAACCATGTCACGATGCAACACGTCCCAGTTGACAGCATTCTCACGTCCTTGAACTGGATCGCTCCAAGGGCCCCCAACTCATACAGAGTGTCATGCGCAGCATCGCTCTGAATGTACAGCTGCAGCAGCTGCATCTCCTCACTGCGAAACTGAGACATGGTTGACCCACTCCTGAGAAAGAGTTTAGAAATAAGGCAAATCACGAATGCCATGTCGCACCTTCCGGCTAGTAGAGCACGAGGGATTCGGCGGCTACGCCGTTGGTTGGAAGGGATAGGCGAGTAGGATTTGTCCGCTTTTCCACCTCGTCGCAACAGAGCGAAGTACCTTACACGCCCAGTCAGCTTTCACTCCAGGCATTCGACAAATTTTTCCGGTGTTTCAACGACAACGAAAATTCTGGAAAAGACCCCCCTGACACACTGATATTCTGACACACTGATATTCTGAATATGGCGCCTTCCATCTGACTTGCTCCACAGCTGACTACCTTATCAAAATTCAACGCGTCTCAAGAGGATTTGACCTCGGCGTTCAATTTCAACATCCATTTGACCTTATCGCCATGATATCACTCACTTCTTGCTTCTCCCACACTGGCTCTTAATGAATCTAAAGCATCTCTCCATCCTTCTCCTTCTCTATCTCCTCCTCCTCCTCCTCCTCTTCCCTCCCTTGTTGCCGTCCCATATTCAGTTCATTGCATCGTCAACCAGACGTACACCAGTACCCTACCCTATCCTGCATCACCCTGTCACCCTACCCACCCTACGCTATTTCATACAATACACCCCGTCATCGGTCTCCGAAAGTTAGTCAAAGGACCCCTGCCAGGGAACATCTACCCTACCATTCTAGGTGACCCACCCTTTCAGAACGAAATGAAACTATTGGTAGTTGGCTTCAATGAAATTAAATTTGAAAACTTTACGCCAATATTACCTATAAAATTTCAGATTATTTTACAAAATTTCCCCAAGAGCTTGAAATTCTCGGCCAACCTTGCCCTTTTCCGGTGTCAAGAGGTCCCAACTGGACCTACCCCTTCAGTTCTTACATCCTAGTACCGGGTGGGGAAACTTGGGTGTACGGGTCTAGAGGACTATGAAAGGGCGTAGATGAGGAGGGTGGGGTGAAACGAAATCTGATATGGTGGGGCACAAGGGTAGTGGTGCTTTTCTATTTCAGGGCAGCCATTTTAATCGCTATTTTCAAATTTTCACGACTAATTTTCAAACCGTTTCAAGGTTTTAGCAGTTATTTAGTAGCCGCCGGGCGCCGGCGGGCGCGCCGGCTCACTGTGCCGGGCCCCGGGCCACCGGCCTGGCCGGGCGGCGATCGGACTCCGGTCACGCTGTGGACTGAGTCGGAGTGACCGTCGGACTTATACACTCGAAGCGCTGCCTATCATAGTATCACGGGACAGAGTCACGTATTCAGTGTCAAGTTCCAGTGGCTGACCGTTCGACTGGCCCGGGCCCTAACCGTAACCGATCGTTCTGCTGGCGAGCAGTGCGGTATTTACAAGCTTGATTACTGAGTATAAGTTACACAAACTGTACATTGTGAAGGCGTTTCGGAAGTTCTCTTCCGCTTGTGCCTGAGACCCTTCAGACTCCCTTCCCCTGCTCGAGCATATCAGCGTCCTTCTTATCTGTTCTACACACAATCACCAGCCACGTGTTCACGGGCGCTCCTCTGAGCCCTCTGCGATTGTTCTTGTTCAAACCCTTCGCACCGCTCAGAACATGTCGGTCAGAAGGCACACCAGCATGCATCACCTTCCCATGCCCCACGTCCTGTGCCACTGGCCTCAAGCCCTCGAACTCTCCTCCTATCCACCCGTAGAGCGTTCCACGATCCCTGAGAGGATATAAGGAGAGAGTCGAAGGTTGTCAGGGTCACATGTTGTCCTTGAGGAAGTCCAGGCCCTCTCCGAACTTGATCGCTCCCTTCTTGGGCCCCAACAGCTGGTTGTGGGCGTCTCGTCCAACACTGGCGGGGGATTGAGACAGAAACGGAGAGAAGGGATTCGTCTACCTCAAAGGGCCATGAAGGTAATGATCCCTCGGAAAGTGTTTGATCTCCTTGCGTAGAGCGTTGGCAGGAGCCAAGGAGCCACCGTAGAGAGGTCCGAGAGTGACCTGGGGAAAGTTCAGACCGTTGAAAGTTTGTCAAGCTGACGATGTGAAAGAAATTTAGCAGAGCTCTGAGATCTCATAGATCAAGGAGAGAGTGAGCGAGGGGCTGATTCACGGTTTACATCTCTTTGAAGAGTTTGAGTTTGTCCCCTTTCCGGGATCCTCGTAGTGTTCCTTGACTCTAACCGCGGAGGCATCTTCCTCCATGTTTGAACATGCTTCTGAGCAGCGAATGTCCCGAGAGACACCTGAAGAAGCATTCATACCTCCACCTCCACTGTCACTAGCAGCCTTCCCCACCTTCCTAGCCTCCTCCACTTGCTCTTGCAATGCAGATCCTGCCTTTCTGCCCACATGGAAGTCCTCGACATCTTTATCGCTAACCTCGGCGGGGCCACCAAACTCAATTCCACTCGCCAAGTTGATCCAGAGGAGCTTTCTCTTCCTCAGTCTAGCCGACACTGACTCAGAAACCGCGTTGTAGCTCTGGTAATCCTCTCAGTCCACCATCGATATGCGGCAATCGAAACAACTTACAAGGTCTAGCCGGGTAAGAGGACACGCGCCAGACTCTGCCGCCTCTGCTATCAGAGACCCTCCTTTTTCGGTGATGTCACACTTACACAAGCACAGAGTCTCCAAGTTGGTATCCGCGACCCCGCAGAAAATGTCCCACAACACGTCGACCCCACCGTCCCCGATGGGGTTGAACCCCAAGAAGATCTCTTTGAGTGAGCTCTTATCTCCTTGACCCGTCAAGGCCTCTACGAGAGCAGCAAGTCCCGACCTAGTGATGCAGTTCCCCTGAAGGTTCATGGCCTCGATCCCTCGGTTGACAGCGATCGCAGAAGCCAGGTGCCGGCAACCTTCGTCCCCGATCCTGTTCAGTTGCAGGTCCAACACTCTTAGGAAGGAGTTGTTTCCTATCCACTGGGCGAGGACATCCATAGCGACAGACATAGAGGGATTCACTCCCAAGAAGCACTGTTCGACCTTGCACTCTTTCCCATTCTCCTCCCAACAATCCAAACAGCTCTGAGGGAAATGCGCGGAGAGCCCACAGTTAGTAAGATTCAAGCTGGAAAAGCGACCGGAGAATGCAGCAGAGCACAGGAGCTTCAGAGACTCGTTGCCGATCCTCGTGTGCGATAGGTCCATTGTAGTGAGGTTGGAAGCCTCAGATTTGCTCAACATATTGGAGATAATGCGCTTCACCTTCCACGCAGGCTGCGCTCGAGGTTCTGAGAGCTCCTGGCGCGTAGAAGCTGATCTAGGCCGACGACTTGCTTGCACAGCAGCTATTCGATTCTCCTCAATGAAGTCTCTATCAGATGTATGACCTGTCGCTGAATACAGGGACCTTGGGGTTTCCGACAGGTCTTCGTCAGTGTCGAACGGAAGTCTCACGTCGAATGTTTGGTGCTCATCGAGACTCTCGTCTTCCTCTTGTCCTCGAGCAAATCTGATGTGCGCAGTACGATCCCTCGCGTGCCCATCTTCGCTCGACCAGTCTCTCGATGGATGTGACTGTGACGGACTATGAGCAGCGCTCCTCGGAGGTGCTAGAAAGCTCTTCTTCCTCCCCTCAACAACCCATCCACCCATCGCGCTGCCCACCATCCTCGTATCACCATCTGCTGTCTCTTCCATCATGCTCCTCTCCATCATTCTCTCCATCACCCGCCGCTCATACCGCTGCTGAGCCCGCTGTTGGCCGCCCAGCATTGAAGCTCTGATTCCACACGGGCTTTAGTGGGGAAGAGGGGATCCAACGAGCATTAAAAAGGGAAACGAGGCAGGCTCGCTGAGTTGCCCCTTCGCTCAATGCAGGAGAGCGGCCGACAGCTGTAAGCTCGCGGCTGGGTCCTTGGCGCTTCCTCCTGTGATCGCAGGTCCTCCGGTGTCTCTTCTCCTCTTCCTCTATTGGCACCGGTTCCTCTCCTCTCCTCTCCTCTCCTCTTCTCCCTTGGGGCTGATCATTGAGCACCATGGTGAGCACGCAATTCGCCAATCCAAGGAGCATTGGGCTGGTTCTCCTCCTTGCTGTAGTGATGGTGGCAACCTTTGCATTCTATGCATTCTTTGCAAGAGAAGTGACTCACTGGATAGAAGGCGAGCACCATTGGTTTCACGACTACGAACCATGGTCTCTCGTCGGATTTGTAATCACATTCCTTTTCGCCACCGCAATGTTTCTTCCTGCTCAGCCGTTTGTGGTCGCCACGGGTTATTTGTTTGGGTTTCACTTCTTAACTGTCATCTTCTTGTTCAGCATCTACACTCTTGCGGCGTTCTTGATGTTCAATGGCGCTAGATATTGGTTTCGTCCTGCTGTAGAACAATGGCTCCGAGAGCACAGGCTTGTGGAAGGAATGGCCCAGTACGTGAAGGATCCAAAGGAGGGAGCGAAAGTGAATCTCTTGTTCTCCTTCACCCCTCTTGCGTTCTGTCTTCACTGCTACGCTATGGGGATCACCGAGATCAATGAGCACGTTTTTCTTGTTACATTTTTGATCGGACAATCCCCTCACATATTCTTTGGAGTTTTGACTGGCTCAGCTCTATTGGCGGCAGAGACCAACAGCCTTGCTCTTGACTGGTTCAAGGTGAGCTTCTAATAGTGACTACTTCTCGTTCTTGACTCTTTGCCAGATCGCTATGCTGTCAGCGGGCATTTTGGGTACGTTCGTCGCCGTCATCTACCTGGGCACCATTGCGCAGGAGGTCTTGGAGCAGATGGACGAAGGGATCAGCAATGATCGGTAAGAGACCGATCGACCGTTTTTACCTCTGATTCGGCTTCCAGCCTGCTGGTTGGGCCCAAGCAGACCAGTCGCTTGTGCGGTGTCGGTCTGACGTTTGAGGAGAGCGAGGACCGATCGCTGGTGAGGAAGTTTGGATGCGATCCCAGGCGCTGAGCTGATGGTGTGAAGGTGGTGAGAGCCATCGCTCCTGGCAGCCCCGCGTACCACAACGGCGTCATACGCCTTGGCGACATCCTACATGAGGTAGACGGGCGAGCCGTTCACCGGGCCGACATCAAGATCATTTTGCACTTGATTCCCGGCAACGAAGGAAGCAAAGTGGAGCTAGGCCTCAAGCGTATGCTCGTGTCGATTATCCTCTGCGGTGCTGACTGCAACTCAGGAGGGACCTCGCAAAGTGATCCCTTGTATCGAATTACCCTCGAGCGTGAGAACGCCGTCTGGGACCAAGACTATGCTATGGTACCTGTCGTGTGTTCCACGTGTTGCGCTCACTGACTTCGCCACCTAGTCCCCAGCTATTACGCCGGATGAAATCAGAGCCGCGAAGCCATGGCAAGAGGTCACTCCAAATCAGAGCCCCAAACACCGGGCCGAGGAGCTGGCATTGCAAGCGAGGCAGGAGGTTGTTCTGGTACACTCGTCAACCATCTGATTTTTGGGCTTCCTGTCCCCTTATGTGTACATCAAAACATTTTTATTTTCCAATGAAAACTCTCGCCCTCTTGTATGCTCATCCTCTGAGATCCCATCCTGATACCAACGGCATAACGGATCCCGGGGCCTTCGCCCGAGCTCCTGAACTTCCCGGGCCGTCCGGGTGCAGGCCCCCTCGGACCGGCGGCATCAGTGCAGCCCGGGCCGGTTGGCAACTCAGCAGCTCCGCTCTCCTGATTGTCCTCGTACTGATTTTTAAAACTAAACTTTGTCTCAACTTTGGTAAGTCCCCGCCTCAGGGCCCGGCCTGAATCCTACTTTTCTCTTCAGTTTTCGCTGCATTACTGTCACGTGCGGAATGGGCTTTGGCGGGGCGAAGAGGAGGAGGGAGGGAGGGAAGACGCCGGAGAAGAAGAAGGAGGAGGAGAAGGAGAGAGGGGAGCGACAGAGAAAGAAGGAGAAAGCTGCTAGCAGGGCTGTCGGAGAAGAGACGGCCGCACAGGCAAGCTTGACGCCAGCAAAGAAGTCCAAGGCACAGAAGCAGGGAAGTGATAAGGACAAAGACCGTGACAAGACTAGACCTGATGAGGCCGAGGAAGCAGACGGTGTGAGCAGCACTCCTACTGCAAATGCAGAGATAGAGAAAGATGAAGAAGGTGGTGACCCTGAGGAGATGGATGAGCCATCCCAGCAGGGAGGGGACCAGGAAGAGCAGAACGACGACGAGTCGGTGCCGTCAGGACGCGAGTCTGATGCAGAAATGACGGAAACCAGGATGCAGGAGGAGGCAGAACACAACGGAGACTTCTTCGAGATCGAGGATGGGGACCTTGCAGATGATAGCTTCAGGGACTCGAAGCAGCCGAACCAGGAGGACAGTGAAGCGTTCGAACTGCTTAACTGCTGGAAGCCGCAGAAGAGAAATGTGATAGTGAGCAGGGAGGGAGAGGAGGGGATCTTCTTCCTGCAGCCCTGGGAGACCATCTATATCCAAGGACACGCGTGGATCAAGGTGCTGGAGGGCACCTGCACAGTCTTCGGGGCCAAGATGACAAAGGAGACGGGAAGGAATACGATCCATGCGGTGAGAGGAGAGGAAGAGGAATCTGCGGGGAGAGAAGAATAGAGGAGAGGAGAAGAGAGGATGAAGAGAGGAGAGGAGGCTACGGTTGAGGGTAGAAGAAGAGGAGGGAGGGAGGGAGGGAGGGAGGGAGGGAGGGAGGGAGGGAGGGAGGGAAGGAGCAGGAGGGAGTGTTAGAGAAAGTTTAAGTGCACTCTTCTCTCATTCTCTTCTTCCACAGGTCCCTCCTTACGGGCCCATTGGAGTAGAGGCCGGTTCCTCCTCCATCTCTCAATTCAGCAACGCGAGATGGGAGGAGGAGGAGGAGGGGGAGGAAGGGGGCGCGGAGGATCTTGCGAGGATGGTAAGGGACAAGATCCAGGAGCAGCAGGTCGCCTGCATCTTGGTCCTCTGCAAGTATACATCGGAGAGCGGGAAGGAGGAGATGGCGGGAAGGAGGAGAGGGAGGAAGTACAGCTGGAAGGATGTGGGGGCAGAAGAGGAGGAGGCAGCTTCCTTGCTCCGCAGCAGCTGCGGCTGCAACATCATCTTGAGCTCTTCTAGCTGCAAGCAGCAGCCCATGCAGGTCTCTTCCCTCCTCCAGCCCATTCTCTCCTTGCACTGCTGCTGCTGCTGCTGCTGCTGCTGCTGCTGCTGCTGCTGCTGCTGCTGGTGGTGTAGTAGCTGCTGTTGCTGATATTCACCTCTTCCTTTCCTCACCTCTGTCCCTTCCCGTGCTGTATTGACTGGTTTTCAGATTCCTGCGGACTGGAGGGCGATAGGAGACGCTGTGCTCGGTATGTTCGGACAGCCAGGAAGGAGCGAGCAGGAGCTCAAGCTTGCACTCGTTGGAGCCAAGGGGAGCGGGAAGGTTAGAAACAGACCTGCTGGTGCTGATTCTGGTGCTGGTGCTGGTGCTGGTGCTGATTCTGGTGCTGGTGCTGGTGCTGGTGCTGGTGCTGGTGCTGGTGCTGGTGCTGGTGCTGGTGCTGGTGCTGGTGCTGCTTTGTTTTCTTGTCTGCTCCCTGTTCGCCCTTCCTTCGACTCCTCGCTGATCTTGCTATGCAGTCGACGCTCAGTCGCTTCCTGATCAACCTGCTGCTCACTCGATGGCCTGCGGTCATCTACTTCGACACCGACGTGGGACAGGTGACTCCTCCTCCTTGCCTTTCTCCCCATCCTCGTCTTCGTACTTGTCCTCGTCCTTGTCCTCGTCCTTGTCCTCGTCCTCGTCCTTGTCCTCGTCCTCGTCCTCGTCCTCGTCCTCGTCCTCGTCCTCGTCCTCGTCCTCGTCCTCGTCCTCGTCCTCGTCCTCGTCCTCGTCCTCGTCCTCTTCTTGTCCTGATCCTGATCCTGATCCTGATCCTGATCCTGATCCTGATCCTGATCCTGATCCTGATCCTTGCCCCTGTCCTTGCCCTTGTCCTTGCCCTCCTGCTCATTCTGCTCCTGCTCCTGCTCCTGCTCCTCTCTGTCGTTGTTTTTCTCCCTGTTCACCTCCTTGCGCTCTTGCTCTTCTTTTCCCCAGCATCTGAAAGATCGGCAGGCGGAATTTTCACCTCCAGGAATGATGTCCGTCAATATTATCTCGAAACCTCTCCTGGGTCCTCCATTCACGCATGTCTTCAAGGGTATCTGCTCCTGCTCCTGCTCCTGCTCCTGCTCCTGCTCCTGCTCCTGCTCCTGCTCCTGCTCCTGCTCCTGCTCCTGCTCCTGCCCCTGCTCCTGCCCCTGCTCCTGCTCCTGCTCCTGCTCTCCTTCTCCACTCCTCCTCATCTTGCTCCTCCCCTTCGCTCTTCCCTTCGTTCCTCCTCGGCCCCTTACTGCTTCACGTATCCCTCAGTCTTACCTTCCTCCTCCTCCAGGTCCTCGTTGCCATCAACGCCACGCTCGTTGGCCTCTGCGTCGCAAACGGCTCCTCCTCTTCTTCGAGGCAGCATGGCGCGTGCCTGGGCGTCGGATTAGTCCGTGCAGTCAACCCCTCGAGGAGGACGCTCTACCTACTCTGTCCTCTCCCTCTGGAGAAGCTGCAGAGGTATGTGGATCCCCTCCCTTCCCTCTCCTCCTCCCTTCCTCCTCTCCCTCTCCTCCATCGCTCCTGATCTCTCCCCCGTCCCCCCGTCTCGTCCTTTCTCTCACTGTTCATGCCAACTCCCCTTCGACCCCTCCCTCACTCTCCCTCGCAGAGTGAACCTTCTTGTAAGGGGAAAGCTAGAGCTGCCGGTCAGCGCCATGAGCTTTTCCTGCTCCAGCAGCGCCAGCAGCATGACGCGTCCTCCCTACCTGGCCGTTGAGTCGCTACAGAGTGGAGGGAGCGGGACAGCAGCGATGCGGTCGAGGTCGAACTTGTTGAGGAGAGGACATGCAAATGGGTGAAGGTGAAGGTCGAAGTTTATCTATCTCTCGCCTCGTGTGCGGAAGGAGAAGCATGATGGAGGAGGGGGGAGAGAGGCGAGAGAAGGAGGAGAGGAGGAAACGTGGGAGGGCGGGAGGGGGAAGGTTTAGGTTTCAGGGTTTGCTATGCCTCATACAAATCCCTCGGTTCCTTCCTTCTTGTACCTGGATTTGAAGGATGTCAGGACAGAGAACGTGGAGTAAGATGTTGGAGTAACTGAGACAAGGCGAGTGCATTGGAGAAGGAGCAGAGGAGAGAGGAGGAAGATCAGAGAGAAAGGAGAAGGAGAAAGAGAAGAAGCAGGAGAAGGAGAGGAGGAGGAGGAGTATCTCACTTCTCAACAAGCTCAGCTTCCTTCTCCTTGCTCTCAACTTCAATCGCCTCCCTCTTCTTGTTGATCTCCGCAACCTGCCGCGCTCCATAAGTTTTCCCCCCCTGCCTCGGTTCGACGAGCATGATAAGGTTCCTCACAAATTTCTCCTTCTCCTCCATCATCACTTTGGCACGAGCGGCGACCTGAGGAGCAGTGAGTGCCATGGGACTCGAGGAGGAAGAGAGTCTTGAGAAAAGAGGAGAAGGGATGATTTGCGAGAAAGAAGAGAGAAGTGAAAGGGGTGGCTTGGGGGCGTGAAATAAGATGCGGAACAGGCGACTGGGAGGAGGAGGAGGAGGAGCAGGAGAAGGAGCAGGAGCAGGTCTTCGTTACATCTTTCGATCGTTCCGCCTCGATGCTTGCATCGCACTCCAACGCAGACTGTCAAGTGGTTCAACTTGCGAAGAGACAACGAAGGATCGAGCTCACCTGGATCGCCTTGCACGCGCTTCTGATCTCATCATTCACCTGCAGAAGATTGAGTATATACTCATTTCTTTCTTCCTCGTCGTCGTGCTCCTCCTCCTCCTCCTCCTCCTTCTCCTCCTCCTCCTCCTCCTCTCCCTCCCTCCCTCCTCCTCCCATTCCTTTTCCCAAGCTCCCCGACCTCAGCCTCGTCCTCTGTTCCCCTGTGAAGTTTTACCTTGGAGATGCTCTTCGCTTTCTCGGCACAAGTTTCTGATTCAGCTGCATCGTGTGTCAATGCATGGCATGTAAAGCTGAGGTCGCAAACCTTTGCACTTCTCCAAACTTGCTTCTGCCTCTTTCAGCTGAACTTCGTACCTGACATGTTGGATCAGACCTGCGGTCGTGGACGAGCATCCCGAAGCTTCACCGGGAGCATCTCTTCTCGTAGTTCTTCACCATTGCGTTGGCCTCGTTCGTCACCTTCGAATCTACTTCAGTACGCGAAGTAAACGGACTCGACAACAAGATCTCATCAGGATACACGCGACCATGTACCACACACAAACACACAAACACACAAACACACACAGAGGGGATATCACGTGAGAACGTTTCCTCACCTCCTTGTGGAACGTGAAGGTAGCCTCGTACACCTGACTCGCCGCTCTAGCCACGGGCCCGCTAGCTCCAACCACAGGCGGGCCAAGGGGGTCCCAGTTTGAGCTCATGAGCGACTGAGACAACAAACAACAACTCAGCCAACGTTCGCTAACATGCTGCAGTGATCTACCGAGAAGCTTTCCTTGGTCACTTCTGCTATCTTGCTCGTCCACTGAGCTCCTATCCTCTGCAGCTCTTGCACATCGACGTGGGGGGCTAACTTGGAAATGGCCGCAGCGGCTCCTCCGTTCGATCCCGGTATCGACTCCATTGCTGCTGCCGATCTCAAAGCAGTCCTCGCAACGTCCATCTGGAAGACATCCGGTCAGATCCAACTGTCGTATCATCTTCGATTACAACTTCGTTCGCTCGCCAGTGAAACTGAACGTTCTGATACCATTCACCTTTTTTTTGATCACAATTCAAATTCTTGACCTCAGCACTTCATGCTCTGCTCTGCTCCTCTACCTACTCTCCTCTCCTGTCCTCTCCTACTTGTTCTCCTACTCCACCGGCTACACGTTCTCCCAATTCTTCCCAACCACATTTTTCCCGCTGACGCGGCTCTATGCTATAACCAGATTGAGTCCGTTACATTGAAACCGTCAATATCAGGTGTGTTCCAGATGTGTTCCAGATGTGTTCCAGATGTGTTCCAGATGTGTTCCAGATGTGTTCCAGATGTGTTCCAGATGTGTTCCAGATTCCGATCCATCGGGGCATGGCAAGATGTGCGATAGCGCTTGCGATGTTGGTGACATGGGGGGCGGGCAGAAGCAGCACAGATTTGGCCGTGCATGCAACAACATACAATGCAAACAAGCTTGCGGCTCGTCTGCTTGCCATGAGGTGGCGGCTGAGAGGAGGAGAAGGCCAAGACCTGTATGCCCTCCTTGGACTGTCCAGACACTGCACGCAACAGGAGGTGAGAGACACGCAACGTGGATAAGATGGGCAGCCAAGGCTGATCGTTCCTCTTCATTACTTGAATGATTGTTTTCACGTGTAGATCAGACAAGCCTATCTTTCTTGTGCGAGGCGGCTGCATCCAGACAAGAACCTTGAGGAGCAAGAGCAAGCAGCGATAAGATTCAAAGAAATGTAACTTTGATCCATGATTGTGATACAAGCTTGTAATGTCACATGTTCAATTGTAGCCAACATGCGTATGAGGTTCTCAATGACGAGCAAGAACGAGCATGGTACGATTCCAAGTTGAAAGACAGGGAAAGGAGGTAAACGATCATCGTGGTTGTTTACTGTCTCTCTCCGACCGGCTGACTAGTCTGAATAATCAGTGATAATGATATGAATGAGTTGTCACAAGAAGAGGATTCGGACTTCGATAAGTTTTGCAGGTGTGCGTTGGATTGTCTAAGTATTCTAAAGTAGAGTTGCTCACCATGGATTCCATCCCATGTCCCAGCCCCTCCGCATTTGATGGATTTCATGATGGAGCATGGGGATTCTACGAAGTCTATCGGTCAGTGTTTGATCCATGCCCGCAGATTGATTGATGTTTGTATGCGCATCGGGCAGGAATTTCTTCCAACAGATCGTGGATCTTGAGAAGCGGAAGACCAGTGAAAACATGAACCAACGGAGCTATCCTTCGTTTGGGAACTCAACCTCACCCTATGGTCATGTGCAAAAGTTTTACTCCTTTTGGAATGCTTTTACAACCGAAAGGGTGAGAACTCCAAGTCGATGTTCGCGGATGTTCACTGCAAAGTTTGCTGTTCAGAACTTCCAGGAAAAGGCCAAATGGAACACCAAGAATGCTGAAAACAGATGGATGAGACGGAGGATGGATGAAGAGAACAGGTCCATCTCTAACGAGCAAATGGAATGAGATGAATACTCACTGCTTTCAACGAAAGGAGAGAAATGTTCAACGCCCAGAAAAATTACAATGAAAAGGTTGCTCAGCCGATTTGATTTCAAAGCACTGATCAAGAGTTCAACAACAGGTGAGGCATGTCGTTGGAATCGTTTATCAGGTACATCAAATAGTGCTTCAGGACTTGGCTGAGAGAATTGGCAATCCAGCAAGATCCGCGAGTTTTCATCCATGAGCTCTCAAAAGCCAAGGCGAAACCTCAAAAGGGTACTCTTCCGTTCCCACCTGCCCTGAATCCTGATACTTGATTTAATCATCTTCAGTCCAGAAACAGAAAGTGAAACCTGAGGAGAAGCCAGAAAGGACGAATGAAACCGCACGTGTAGATTACTTCGACGCGGATTATCAGGCTATTCTGGACAGTATGTTGAACAACTTTCTAATGGAGGTATCGTCACATGAGGATACAATTCCAGATGAAGTGTTTCACTATTTGATGTGAGTTTCAGGAAAAAGAAAGAAAAGCCATGAAAAAATCGAAGAAGAAGCAGCAGGAAAAAGTGGTTCAGGGAGAGAAAACCAAAGGTCAAGTTGAAACCTTGAATCGCACAAAGGAATCGGGAATCAGTCAAGATGGTGTTGAAAGACCGATATCTCCAGGCCTGGAACAAGTGGCCGATCAGATCTCAACTTTGATTCTTGACGCACAAGAATCTGTCCAAGGGAGTTCGTGCTTGCAGGAACTGCAGACGGCAAAGCACTCAACATCGCAGATCCGAGAACGTGGAAGCTCACCGGGGAGAGAAGCAAACGAGACACTGCCAACAGATTCGCAGTTGTCCGACAACGCAGCGATTGACCCGAGCCACTCTGAAGATGCTCAGTCGGTGCTGCCTATGAGGGCTGAAGCGGCGAACAAACGTCTGTGGGGAGATCACTTGGTTCACTAAGACCTGAATATTGCTCGATAGGAAAACCTGCGAAGAGAAAACCCGCCATCCAAACAGCTGAGGACTCATCTGCGGTAAATGCAGATGATTACTTCCTGTTGTGATGACACTTGCTTTAGAAGGAGGACAAGGGTGCGGCATACTCATGCAATGTCTGCAAGCTCTCTTTCAAATCAAGGAACAAACTGTCGTGCGCTATTGCTCATTCGCAAGAAGCTGAAAATCGAGCAGATTCTGCCATCTGAAGGAGAAGGGTCATGAGCTGAACCTTGACAGTGCAGGTACATGAATCATGGGATATCGATGCTCTTTGAGTTTAACACTGCCCAGATTCTCGGAGGCAGCGCAGGAAGAAGCGTTGAGGATGGAAAATATACAACAAATAACATGCAATCAATGTATTTTTTGTTTCCTTACATCCCCCCGCCCCTCTCCTCCCCCTGCTCCCCTTCACCCACCACCTGATCTTCTTCCTGGCATCCCTGCTCGCGCCGCGAGCTCGCTGCATTTCCTCGCTTGTCGATACTAGAGGGGTAGGGGTATTCATTGATACTTGGAGGGGTGGGGTGGTTTTATTGGACAGATTGACCGAGCCCGCCAAAAAGTTTGTGGTCCAATGCTGCCGTCGGTGGTCACATGGAAGCTGCCCCGCAAGCTCGACAACTTTGTCATGCAGAAATCCGAAGAATTCGTTGCGGTACATGAAGAAGTAGCATGCAATGTTGGAGATGGAAAGCTTCTGACATCAATGGATGAATATGATGACGATGCAATGTTGCTACTCTCCGAGTTCACAACGCTCTCTTTGGCAGACAATGATGAAAAATCGATGGATGGCAAACAACAGTCCGATTCCCTCGAAGAATGCAAGTTTAATGATCAACTTGACCTCAGGGATGGGGTGTATTACAAAGTTGACAAAGGCATTGTGATTCCGACAGATGATCAGAAGGCCTATCGAATGGAGCTGATTTCCACGCACGAGAAGGTAAAGCATCTTGATCACTTACTGAATCTCATGGCTTTTTGAAGGAAAAATCAGTTCTTGAATCCATGCAAGAAAGTGAAAGACAAAGAATTGCACGGAACCTTGGTCAAGCGTTAGATGCCAAGCGCCTCAAGAAGGCAAGAAAGCAACTTTTCAATGAGTCGAAGAATATTCTTCAAGAAGATCTTTCAGAGATCAGTCAACAATCTACTCCAGAGAAGAATTCTGCTGTTTTAAGGGAATTTACAACTTCCGAATCTTCATCGTCCACAACGGAGGTGCGAGCCTTTGAGTCGTTGACAGAATCAGGTGCAATCGGCTTGTGCATCACCCAAGCATTCACGTTCATCAAACCATTTCTACTCGTATTTCATTGCGTAATTCTGATCTTGATTTTTCTTGAGTTACGACTTTCATTGCCAAAACGGATTTTGCCCTTGATCTCATGATAGAAAATAGCTGTTTACAACATTTTTATTATACATTTACATTATCGAACATCTTGAATTTCGGAGATCTGAAGCACTAGCCACATCGCACCATCTCTCATAATGACGAACCATAGGCTCTAATTCGATGTCTCTCATCTCTTCTTCAAACCTGGAAAGAAGCGACAATCAGGCTTGGTCAGAGAATAGTTAAGTTTGTCTCACTGAGAGATCATGTGCACGTGACAGACATGTTCAGAAGAAAGTAGGTTCTTCATCCTTACGATGGCATATCTGAGAAGTAATCATTACGGATTAGACCGTGCACAACAGTAGAGATTACTGGAGCTGCTTTCCCCGTTGCCTCGCAGGGATCTTCATTTTCTTGCTCCTGTGATTGTGTCACTCGTGCAAATCAGTATAAGGCTAAGAGAGGAGGAGAGAATCAAGTGGTGAAAGTCAGGAGACAGGCAAGGGGGAAAGCTCTCGTCTACCATGAGCCCGCAAGGAGTCTCTGTACAAGGGCCTCTGCCCTCTCGAGCAAGTGAAGCTCAAGCTGTCGGAGACCTCCTCCTCGCCGAAGCTCGGCGATGGTGAACAGTTTCGCAACCCATCTGCTCATTCAAATCAGCCAGAATTTGTTTCTTTTACCCTGCATCACCTTTCTGCTTCAGATTTACGATGCACGACGGGGAAATTTAGTTTTCTAGTTTTCACGGCAAGATGTCATTGCAGTGTGTTGCATGGGGCATAAAGAAAGTGAGAGAGAAAAGTACTACATGTATTCATCAAGTGTCATCCCCGGCGTGAACTGATTGACGATTTGATCAATCTGCACGACGGTAATTTTTAGCACAAGATTGAACAGACAAGATAAATCACCTTCCCACATGCGATTATGTAATAGAAACCTTTGAGAGTGGCGGCTTCAACGTAACCCCTCCCAGTATCACTAATCTGCTCTCAAACAATGAGACAGAGAGTTCATGACTTGCAAATCTCACAGCACTAATATTGGCTCTCCGAAAGTTGTTCAATCTTGTTTGGACCTTATACAAGTACGTAAGGACAGTTGAATTCAGGCGAACTGTGGCTCACTCCTAGTCCGTCAACAAAGCTTCGACCAACTTCTGTTCTCGATCTACAGCACCACATGTCACAAGATCAGCAAGACATTGAGAAAGAGAGGATACAATGGCTTGTAGCGGCTATCCTTTCCATCAAATTCACATCCCAGCCCCATACAAGCCCTGATCGAGGATCAATGTCGATATGTGACAGTGCAAGTGTATCTAACCAATCAAGAGGAGTTTGGTCTGAGCAATCCCGTGCATTGATGTTGGCCCCACGTTCGAGCAGAAGTTTTGTAATCTCTAGACATCCAATCCCTGAAGCTTTGTGCAATGCAGTGCAGTTGTACTAGCGGATCGCAAGTCAACGATCTGTGTGCGCGAATATGACACAGAGATGTACAAGAATACCAGGAAACCATCAAATAGGACACTGGTCATATGATTAGGATAGGAATTACCAGTCCATAGGTTGAATGCAAATCAACTCCATGTGTTATTAGGTCTTTCACCTAATAGACGCCAATCAATTACCCACAAGATAGATTTTGTCAGAATACTCGGCGTGTATCTTCATTCTGAATAGCCTCAAACAAGCTGCCAGTGTCCTGTTGTTTGAACAAGGTCATGATGTCAGAAACTATAAGAAAATGCACAGAGAGTTAAGCTCACATTTATCAAATTATCGCTCCTGACCTTCATCACTCGACTGAAGGTTTGGACAAGCTCCGTCGGAGCAACTTGTTCCTCCTCAGCTGCTTTCTTCTCCTCAAGGAGATTTATTGGCTGAATTTCTATCGTACTGAGAAGCTGCTGCGGTCCTGCGCGGAACGATGCCTGGGGAGAAAGGACCTGCAGCAGCGGCGGCGGGACGTAGGTCACGGGAGTGAGCTCTTTGAAGCCGATGTGTCTCAAAGGAGACTCTGTACGAAAGATCCTGTACTTATCGTCCACCTCCTGAATCTCATCCTCGGTCTCGTTGGACGGAGGAATCTCCGGTGATGACTCGGGGGTCAAAGTTATTCGGTGGGTGCTTTCAACTTCAAATGGGGTCATACTGCGCTCTAAGTTGTCGTTCTTGTGTTGGATGATCACCTCATGCAGCTCGTTCATCGCGTCCTGATACACCTTCTCCCTAGCAGCATCGGCCATCGCGGAGCAGAACTCTGCATGTATGTTCGCGCTGGTATGCGGTCGAATGTTGTGCATTTCCTGCCGTATTTCTAACATTTTGTATGACTTGGTTTCGTTGCAACAGATCCCCGGGCTAGGAGATATCTCATGGTCTTCCTTGAAAGTGAAATCTGATGATGCTTGAGAGTAAAGAACGTCTTGCAGAATCTCATTCGGCATAAACCAATGGCCCTTGGCTTGTAAGGATGAGTGAACCAACCGTGAGCGAGCGAGAGTCTCTATCTCAACAAGGCCATCAAGCTTCGTTGCCTTACCTCCACATGTCGTCCAGGTGTCTCCTCGCCCCTCGCCCTCCTCCGCCTCTCTTGTCCGTCGTACGCCATTGGTGGTCAAACCATTTTTGGGAAGGGGTAAGGTTGTTGACGAAGCCTGGGTCATTGGTTTGACACTGTGAGTCTTCTTGGGGGGTGGGTATACCAATAAGGGGTACATTTCAGTAAATCTGGACTACAAGGGTACAGGTAAAACGGAAAATATCTGGAAAAGTCTAGGGTGAGGGGGTGCAGGGGGTGGGGAAAAATAGTTCACGAGGTGTCTATTTGGTACACCGAGGGGTGGGGGCAGGGTGGGGGCAGGGTGGGGGCAGGGTGGGGGCAGGGTGGGGGGTGGTTTGTCCCCTGGTCTGCCAACATCCGCTATTACACCTGGTACGATGGCGCAACATGGAGAGGTAAGCCCGATGGGGTGTTGAGTGGTGGAGGGAAGAGAAGAGGAGCAGCAGAATGAAGCATGCTGATGATGCTGATGTGAAGACACTCGATATCTCTCGTATCAACGTGTTAACCTGTATTCTGATGTCATGCCACGCTCTTCGCTGTTGTGCCCCCTTTTGTTTTGTGTTGTTTTAATGTTTTGTCCGCTTCCGTTGCTCGGCAACTGTGCATGCAAGGTACAATCTTTCATGGTATCAAGATATATCTGTCAGGATATCCTTTCTATCTCTGTCATCTCTTGGTTTGCTTGATCCCATTTCAAATTCTTCTTTTGTTTTGAACAAGCTGAAATCGCGTTTGTCAAAAGGGGGAACATGTTATTCAAGACCATTCCAAGCTTTCTCTGGCTTTTCTAGGAAAGGATGGAAGCAGGTATGATACTTGAGACCTCAAAACAATTGCTCAAGGTGAACCATAGGCGAAGAAAGTTCCTTGGATTGACGAAAGGTATGGTGCTTTGAATTCGATTCACCCACTTCCTGTTGCCAATGCGTATCTGCCTACCCTCCCTCCTCTTACCAACCCCGCACCATACACGTAAATTCTCATGATTCTCCCTCCCTGCCCCCTTCCTACCACCCTTACTCCCTCCTCTTGTACAGAAGAGAAAAACGATTCCATGAGGCAAAACAGCGAGCAACACTTGTCGACAAGTGTTGCAACAGCGATCCTTGGACAGGAAGGCAGCAGGCGACGTCAGACGATTGCGAAACTCGGAGACAAGTTGAAGCATCTCAACACCAGCCACACGTCTAGAGGAGATGAGGTCGGGATGATGGAGGACGAGGAGGGTGAGGTCTACATCGAAGACTCCACAAGGTATCACTCGGGCCTTCACGGCGTTAAGAATGCTGGTAGCAAAGTGAGCAGCGCTCTCAAGAGTGTCATGCCGAGGATACACATGACGAACAAGGGGGTGAATGCACGGGTGGAAGCTCAGCCGCGCACGACCGCAGAAGCTTCAAAGTTTCGAGTTGACGACCTAGGAAAGACCAGCATTCTTGATGACGACGATCTAGAAGAAATCAAGTTCTAGACGAGGAATGTTTCTAGTTGATTGTACAAAAGAAACTTTCAGCAATCTTCATTAATGTGCATCGACACTAAATTGAGTTCCGCTCTCGTTGCCAAGATTGGAATAGACAACGCGCAAAGCGAGAAAACAATCACAATAATTTATGAGCTCTAGAGCTTTGACGAGCCGATCATCATTAACCCTTTGGCAATACAACCATACGCAGCGCGGTTTAAGTGTGTCCGTGAGGATACATGATTTCCATTGACTTCTTGATAGCCTCAGTAGTCAGAGACTTTGGTCGCTCCAACGAGAATCCCAAAGCACGACTGCACCCGATCACAAAACAATCTTGGTTTGCATTCAGAACATACCTGATGGTCAACATGGGAAGAACTCCAAGGGCTCGCCCCACTCCGAACATCACCGTGTAGAAATTTTCTTCCGTCTAATACGAAAGCTCAATGTTCGTCTTGCAGAGCATGCATTCCTTACCAAGCCATAGTGTACCAACAGCACCCCACTGTGGGCATCAACGTTGGGCCATGGATTCTTGGTCTTTCCATGCTCTGTCAAGACTTGGGGAGCCACCTGAAGGACGATCAGAGTCCATCTTTGGCATGGGGAAGGATCACCTCATACATGAGGCTGACAAGGTCAACCAACTCGTCATTCTTGATGTGCTTCTTGGCAAACTCCGCCTGAGAGATGTCTTAGACAAAAGATTCGAACTGAGCCAACCTTGGCCGCCATGATGTCCTCATGCTTACTTGGCAGGTGAAGCGAGGATCCGTTTTTCTCAAGACAGCGTGACCGTATCCTGGAATCACACGCCCACTGTTCAACACCTACAGATGGATTATGCTTCAATATGTAGCTGCGGCTCACAATCCACCTTCCAACATTGTTCTTTCACTGAATCCGGTGTAATCTGTTTTGAACCCATGTCTGCCTTGAATTGTTTGATGAAACGCAAGACTTCCTGGTTGGCAAGACCTACAGAAGAACAATCACTTGACAACAGGACAAGCAAGAGATCCAAAATCTCTCATACCGTGCAAGGGACCAGCCAGTCCATTCATGGACGCAGAAAGAGCAAGGTACGGGTCGGACAAGGCAGAGCCCACCAAATGGCAGGTGTGTGCAGAAACATTGCCTCCCTCATGATCAGAGTGGATAGTCAGGTACAGACGCATCAGCTCGATGAAGTTTGCATCAGAAAATCCTAAGACAAAGAAATCAGATCTTGCACCTTCCCCTTCGATCAAGATCCATTTACCGAGCATCTTGCAGAAGTTTGCTGACATGTCGGACTTGTTTTCCTGTCAAGAAATTCAAATCACCATTCCTCCAAACGTGTGTGGAAAGAGTACCATGGGAGTAATCTTTCCATCTTTGAACACATTTCTGTAAATCAAGGCTGCAATTCGGGGCAGACGTGCAATGCAGGTGAGCATGTCCTCAAAGCAATAAGTCCAGTATTCCGATTTCTTGATACCACGCTGGTATCTGAAAAGTTCATGTTCATGTGTGAGACATCAAGAGCGCATCTCAGTACGCTGCTGCAAACTGCGACTCCTTCTGGCAGGCTAAGATTCCCATAGAAAACTGGGTCATGGGGTGGAGGTCCTTTGGAAAGTTCAAAATCCTGCCCAGGTGCTCAGAAAAACATCGTTGCTCTTCGTGACATACGTCTTCTCGATCCATTCAGGAAGGACGGCCCTCTTATTCATGTCATCGATGAGGTTCTGCCTCAAGAAATCGGCATGCAACTCAACCTTCCGAGATCCACCGGTACCTTCACTTGGGAGTCCGTGGGAACATCACCCGTCATCAGAAGCCATAGAAGCGCTTCAGGAAGAGGTTCTTCACCACCCTTCATCACAATACGATTAGAACAGTCCATGAATCAAATCACGATCCTCACAGGAGCCTTAGGCAGAACTTTCTGGCATTCGGGAATGGAATACCCTCGAAATCGGATTCCCTGGCTCACAATCAGTCTCCTCGTCTCCTCAGAGAGCGATAGTCCAACCTCAACAGGATCCAGCAAAGATGTCTCGTAAACAAGAGACTTGACGCTCCTCATCCCACCGTACGCTTGCTCCACCGTGCACGTGCCCAGCACCTTGTCACCGTACATGGATTTGATGTCGGCGATCTCCTTCTGCCACTTTGGAATTTTGTCCGAGAAAACATCCTTGAGGCTCTGCAAGCTTTCATCAGCAAAGAAATATATCATCGTAGCAACTAACAGCTTCTGACGAAAATGCCCTGATGAATTTTTTCGCATGCTTGCCGCACACCTGAAAGCATACGTCACATCATGTTCCTTCAACTTTGGCGGTCGTTCGAGAACCAATGGACATGGTGTAAACAGAAACCTATATGTCACGATACAAACTTCATGCGAAAAATTCAATTTCGTGATCTTGCACCGGCAGCAAGTACAGGGCATGCACGAAATCTGGAGGGGCCACAAGGTTTGAGTTGCAAGGGGGGAAAGTTCGAGATGAGTTGCAGATAGACTGAGAACGTGGAGCAAGCATGTCCTAGTTGTAAGGACAACAGGTTCTCCAATGCTCTGCCTGTTCTCTTCAGTTTTTCTCACCATGCGGGCGGCTGCCGGTCGGAAGCGGGTCAGCATGCTGTGCTCTGCTTGCGTCCCTACCCTACCCACCCTCCCTGAAGAACAAAGCCAACCACCCCTACCCCCTTCTGTTACAATCTTGTGGTACCCCCGGTACGGTGCGATTGCTACCCACCTTTTCCATATGTCGAGCATCCATGATTCACACTAGGGTACTCCACCCCTAGGGCTCCACATACCACCCCACCCCTGAAACGTTCCCCTGCTTCAAACCTCTTCCTCCAACTATTTACCTGTACCCCACCATACTTTCATACATTTCCAAACATGACCCCCACCCCACTGTTTGACCCTACCCAACTGTAACATTCCTTCACCCCACCATAAAACGGAGCTACCCACCCACATCGTTTCCTACCCACCCACCATACTCAATTTACCCATGCTTTATTGCTGACTCTCTACACCCCGAAGAATTTCAATCTACACCACCACCACCACCACCCTATCCTGTTGGCCCTGATCCCCTATAATATGACCGCCTACCCTTATCCTGAAGTACCTGACACGCCACTACCCCATTACTCCCTTCTTGAACCCACCACCTGCCATGGCCAACAACCAGACCACTACCCCTCTGAACTAGCCTACTTGATCACCCCACCCCTTTGCATGATTTCAGTGAGGCAAGGCAACCCCCTAGTAATATTTCATGGAGAGGACCCGTACGAGTCGTTTCAATCATTTGTGGGGTTGCCCTTGAATTTTCGTTATAATTTGAAATTTAAAGCAATATTTCAGATTTGCACACAGGAGACATTTGGCGTATCTCCCAGCCTAGGAGAACTTTGCTGTCCCTCTTCTTTTTTTGTGCAGTCTTGTAAAGAGCGATGGTCATGGCTTCGTGAAGATGAAACTTGCGGGTAAGAGCGATGGCGGGGGAGAGACAGCAGAGAAGAATGCCGAGGATTCGATGAGAAGAAAAGAAAGAAGCGGGATGGCTGTGACTTGCATCGCGGGGCGGGGCATGCGCGGGACACATTTAGGACAGGAATGGAAGGGTCGGAAGTGAATCTTGTACGATTCTTTGAGAAAAGTGCCGTAGTCAGCAAACATTTTCCTTCTGATCATCACAAGAATAACATGTGATAAATTGATATGAAGAAACTGACTTCTGTTACCAAGTTCTTGTGCTTTTGATCGTTGTGGATTCAAGCGAGGCTTTCCTGTGTGTCTTTCAGCCGGGCCAAGTCAGAAGTCTCAGCCTCCACAAGGTGAAAGAGAGATTTTTGCAGCAGCACACGCATAAGAATTATCTTGTTAGAAAATGGAGTCAGCAATGCAGGCTTCCCTCAGAGACCCCACGAATTCAGGTGAGTTGTACAAGAGAAAACGTGAGGCTGAATGGAAGTTTTTTTCCAGACGACCTGCTTGCCATCTTACAAGCTACCCGACGTTTGAATCCCGACAAAAATAATCAGCAGATTGTACGAACAGCGATGAAACAAAATCCGCACGTACAAATCAATTATTTCAAGGGCTTGAAGCTACTTCAGAAGCATGCCAACGGTTGTCAACTACCAGCAACCTCTAAGGGATCGGATGTACAGGCTGAAATCTGCGAATCTGAGGAAGCGGCTCCAATAAATCCCATGAAGAACTTCAAGTTCCAACACCTCTCTGACGAGGATATCCTTGCGTCGACGGACGATTCTATTCAGATCGCTGCATTGCCTGACCATCCTGAGGCGAATTCCGCAAACACAACAACTACGGTGTTGAGCTCAACTTCAAGACGTGAAAAGAAGGGTTCTAGCAGGAAATCTCAAGCAAGCCAAGATGATCGACTTTGGACCGGGCCATTGTCCGGGAATTATCCTAATTTGCTTTGGAGAGCGGTTGTGTTCTGAGATTGCCAAGGCAATAGCTGTGACAGATGCTTTAGGTTGACATGGAGGATTTGAGGGCTCATCCTCTGTTTCAAGAGCTACCAGATCCCTCAGAAGTTGCTGTGAATGGTCCGCAAGACTTTCATAGGTTCCGACAAGATTCATTACAATGGGCTCTACTCCACAACGGACGACTGACGACCAGGTTTTAGAAGTGCGAGTAGTCCTTAGCTGACGCTGAGCAAGTCGGATGGCGTCCATTCTGGGCTTTTACGAGCCGTGGGCGTCTAAGTTGTTGAACATTCCACGATCTTTGTCTGGTCATCATAAGGTAGAGTACCAATGTTCTGACAACCGTTTCAGTTGTTCTGCTCACTTTGAAAAGGTCCTCGATGCCTGGCAACACTTAATCGCAACGCCATGCACCCTTCAGGATCTTGTCAAGTCGACATATGTGATGCAGCAGGAAAGAATGGAAGAGCAGCCAGCCAAGTCCTTCCAATCCAAAGGAGCTGCACGCCGTCACCGGGGAAAGCAAAGGTCCAAGCTACAGACGGAAACGGCCAGATCATTTTCGCCAAGCAGGTTTTTCAAATTTGATTCTGATATTACCGGCTTACTATAGTCTGTGCGGCATGTAGCGCCGATGACGTTTGGACATCGTCATCGACAGCCACTTTTCCCTATGATTATGCTCCGCTTCCTAGAAATGTGCAGCGATCAACATTCCACGTTCAGACAGTCGGTCAGGCAAGAATGATATGGGGGAGCACACAAGTAAATGTCTTTGTTACGATAGAAACGCTCTGACGAATCTGTTGGCAACGTGAAGGAAGCTACTTCGATTCTGGCAGCTGTGAACTTCTTTGGGAGCCTTGGAGGTGTGGTACACGAGATAGGATTGTGTCCGCTGGAAACTCAGCCTTTGGATAACGTGGCATGCCTGAAATCCCGTCAAGTCTCCTGGGGTCAGACGATTCCTTTGATGGGAGCGTCTCCCGATGCAATTGTAACTTTTCCCGATGGCACCATCGAGGCAATCGAGGTCAAGGAGGTCGCGTGATAACGAAGATGATGTAACTGCCGAGCAGGTGAAAAATCACGCTCCGTTCCGAACAGGAGGGTCAACTGCGAAGAGCACGTACATTATGCGCATTGTTCTTCTTTGTCATTGATCGTTATACACTAGGAAACCAGGGGCTTTCTCCATCTCCGACGTTGAGCCGTATCTTGAGATCGCCCCATGGCACATTCCGCAGGTGATCTTTGTCTAACTGTATCACCCGAGCTGAAGCTTCACTCAGCTGCAGCTAGAGATGTTGTGCCTGGGTCCTCAATGCCGGGCAGTGAATTTCATGTCATGTACGGCCTTGAAAGGTTTACTGTTCTGATCGAACCGCCTGAGATGACAAGAGTAACTGGTGCAGGAATCGCCATCCTCAAGCTGCCTCGCAATGACGCATACATCTCGAAGATGGTCGAATTTGCCCAGCAGTTCCATAGCACATTTGTGCTCAGGAAGCATCTGCCGAGTGAAGGATACGAACGAGTTCTCTACAAGGACTACGACAGGTCTGCATTCTAGGAGAAAAGCCATCAGGGTGGCTTTGCAACTAATCATGAATTCAACAGGTTCCTTGCAGATACCAAGACTGTCGCTGCCAGCGCTGAGGTATGGGAAGGCTGCACGTTCTTTTGAAAGAGGAAAGGTGGTGGAAGCAAATGATATCTGTTAACGCAGCTCCTCACAAGAATAGACCCTCGTGAGATCCAACGTTCGCCATTGCAGAAGAATTTTTTCGTAAAATAAATCTCCAACAAGCTGTCTGCTTCTTTGAACATCGCTTTGTGAGATGGAAAGAAAGTTTATTGAGAAAATATCATCAGATTTGCTTGTCACGTTCAAGGATGTCCTCCGGCCATGGGATCAGATGCCCCGGAGTCGTTGTAGAACTTACCCAATGGCCCCTTAACACTGCAAGAAAGAGTCATGGATTGAGCTCATTTGCTTCCAGGATGGGAAGGAGCCATCAAGACGTGAGCAGACAAACAACGGGGATGCTCAGGTGATCGGATTGGAAAGAAAAAGAAGCCAACATATCCAAAAAACAAAATGACAATGATGCAGGAAGAGACATCGATTGAAGTAGATGAGCAAGCACATGGAAGAGGAAGTAGACGTTGGTATATGGTGAAAGAGATTGGTTCGTGCACTACAACGATACAAAGCAAGCAGGTGAACAGGAAGAATAACCATGGTGGGATAGGAGCATGGGAAGGAGCAGGAGCAGGATCAAGTTGTTGTTGTAGTTGTTTGTTTGGTGTTTGTTGTTTTCACAACACAGTTGTCCTCACTTGCTCAGGATCTTCTGCCACGCGGCTTCTGCCAGGATCTCGAACATGGTGGTATTTCCGGAAAACGGCGTACCCACCCCTTCAAAATTTGAAGTCAGGATCGGGACACCTACCCCTTCTTGTGCTTCTTTTTCTCTATTGATAACCCCACCAATTTCAAGCGAGAAGTACCCCCTTGCTATCACACCCCCCGCCACCGCAGGTCTCGTTCGGGAGGCTGGTGGGGGACAGAACCAGCTGACTCCGTCGATCCACCATGCG